ATCTTATAACCTTTATTTTTTATCATTTGCCATTTCTATAACACACCTTATTAAGCATTACTATTTTGTTGACACTTTACCTTGAGCAGTTCTTAAGCCTTTTTTAGTTGAACTTTAGTTCCAAGCCAGAGATCAAAATTGTGAAATTTTTCTGGTCACTAGAAAATCAAGTCTATAAAGAAGCCAATCACTGTTTACATTTGTAATACAAGCAATGAGTTCCAAATAGATGGCAGAACAGTGTTTAGAATATATAAAAAGATAAAATTTATGATGAGCTACAAAAAACAGGAAACTGTGGAGAGACCTGATTGCCAACGTCCTGAAGGGACATGGCACATAGAAGAAGAAAAACCATAACACCTTGCATAGAGAATAAAATGAAAATAAGAGATGAACAGAGAAAAGAAATAAACAGCGAAAAAGACAAAAGGTGGAAAAGGATAAAGTGAGAAAAGAGAAGAACTGAAGAAAAGATATAAAACGTGAACAAAAGAAAGAGAGGATCACTGAAGTTAAGCAACATTGAGCCTGATCAATACCAAGATGGGTGACCACTTGGGAAAACCAGTTGCTGTAAGCTTGGATGTGCAGATGGTGTAATGGATAATGGCTTGGAATTGTTAATTGGAGAGCTGAGTTCTAATTCCAGTTGGGTTTGTTATATTCACTTACATGCACATACCCTTGGGAAAGGTATGAATCTATCAATTCTCCCCCCCAGCTATGGGATTGCATCACTAAATCATTATTATCTCAAAAAAAAAAATTGTGTACACAGTATTTACATTTCAGCATTAAATAGCCCATAGAGGTTGATATGACATTAAACTAAAATAACCAAACGAAAAGAAAGCGATAAACAGTTGGGAGGAATGAAAGAATAGTACAGGAGAAAGAGAGGACAGATATAAGCACAGAGAAGTGATCTACTGAGGAAAGACGTGAACAGTAGATGGAAAGGAAAAGAGAAGATGATAATCAGTAGAAAGGAGTGAACTGTAGAGGGGAAGGACAGCAAAAGAGATAAATAGATGAATGAAGTGAACTGCAGAAGGAGAGGAAAGGAGAAAGAAATAAGTAGAGGAAAGAACTGAATTGTAAAGAGAGAGGAACAGAGAAAGGGATAAACAGTAGAAAGGGTTGAAAAGTAGAAGGGGAGGAAAGGAGAAAGCAACAAAGAGATAAACAATAGAGAGGTTTCAACTGTGGAAGGGGAGAAAAGTAGAAAGAGACAAAAATGGGAAAGATGGCCATTGTAGAAAGAGATAAACAGTAGGAAGGGTTCAACTGTTGAAGGGGAGGAAAAGAGAAAAAGGAAAAGATGTGAATTGTAAACAAACAACAACATAGAAAGTAGAAAGGGGAGAATTCTGGAAGGCAAGGAAAGGAGAAAGAGATCCACAGTCAAATGTATTGAACGGTGAAGGGGAGGACGATAGATAAAGATAGACAAATGACATGAACTGTAGGAGAAGAAAGAAGGAGATAAACATATATAAAGAGAGTAAGGTGATAAACAATGAAAAGGGATGAATTCCGTGACCAGGGTCAGACAAAAAGCATAACTTGTGCTGAACTGGCTGTTCAATCAGTGAATGCCAAATGATTCCATATAAAGTAACGACTAATATCGCCATTACCATTAGGGATGAGGAGAACAGGTACTACACTACCATGATCCAAGCTTAATGGTCAGGGAGTGAAGAAAAGTGTAACTTGAGTAGCATTAGCTGCTTAGTCAATGAATGCTGCATATTTCCATGTAAGGAAACAGTTAATATTACCATGGCCATTAGAAATAAGAACAGATACTACAATTGGGATTTACTCATACCCCCATGGTAACAGGATATGACACAAAGCTTGTTTAAAGTGGGGAGCCAAGCAGGCATTCCTCATTTATTTGTTGTATTGTCAAAGACAGAAACACAATTGAGAGATAAAATCTAATTTGTTTGTCCGAAAGCAGATAGTACACTTTGATCCTAGTTTGATGTCCAGGGAGAGAAGAAAAACCTAACTTAAGTAACATTGGTTGCTTGACTGATGAATGTCAAATGTTTCCTTATAAGGAAGCTGTTAATATTACCATTAGTATTAGAAATGAGGAGAACAGATACTTAGACTTTGATCCCAGCTCAATGGCCAGGGAGTGAAGAAAAGGGTAACTTGAGTAGCATTGGCTGCTTGGTTAATGAATGTTAAACATTTCCATGTAAGGAAACAGCTAATATTATAACTATTAGTAATGAGGAGAACAGATACTACACTTTGATCCCAGACTGATAGCCATAGAATGAAGAATAGTGTAACTCAAGTTGCACTGGCTGCTCAGTCAATGAATGCTAAATGTTTCCTTACAAGAAATGGCTAATATTACCATTAACATTGCCAAATATTTAGAACAAAGAGAATATAACTAATTGAAATATAAAAAAAAATTCTGTGAAAACTACTGAAGAAAGAAATAACAAGAGAAACTATCAAAACATATCATTACATTCTGAGTTGATATCAATTTATGATAGCGAATATATTTTTATAAGTATCACAGATGCTTATATTGGTTAACATCCAGCTGTCAGATTGGAAACATGAACAATTTCCTTCTTCCAATTTGCCATGCTTTAATTTACTCTTTTCTTTTTATCATTGTTTTATAAACTCACACTTTCTGTTTTCTGTGCTCTCTTTTTTTATTTAAATTTATTCATTTGCTTATGTATTTGCAATATTCTGATGAAAATCAAGGAATAATAATAACCATTTCTGACATTTTTCCCAGAAACAATTATGCAAAAAAATATTGCTCATCTTATCTAATAAAGCTATAACATTATCTGAGATAAAACACAAATGGACAAGATCATGCCAACAGGAACATTACGTTTCTTTCTTGCAGTTCTTATATCAGATAATTTTTAAGGTTCTTAGTTGATGAATGGCACTTGTTGATGCATAGAGATATATATTTGTTTGACTTTTATCAGAGAGATACAGAAAAGAGTTGCATACAAAGGGAATTATTAAAGTTGCTTCTACTGTTTGTTTTCCATTTTGTTTTGTGCTTCTTATGGTGTCACAAGAAAACTACATTTTATATTGCAGAACATTCTTCAGGTTATCTTGCCCTTCTTGATTGTCTCATTAACTTGTTCAATTGGAACAAAAGTTTGTAGCATTTTATAAGAGAATTTCAAAGACATTATTTATATATTTATTATGTTTTACCAGTTTGTGACTGGAAGGGATAATTCCATGGAGGATATAAATCCTGGGAGAGCTCAATGTGGATTACAGAGCATAATAATGATAATAAGACAGAAACTTTAATTATCCATTTTGATTATAATTTATTTCGTGAACACTGAGGTGTTCAACTCTTAATCCCTTAGACCTTTCTTTTCCTAATCCATTTCTTCTCTCTCACCTTCCCTTCCCACTAGCAATCAATATGTCCATCCAGTGTATTTTCTCCATTTATGGAGGAGATTTTGATCTGAAGAGTTGAATACCTCAGTGTTCACAAAATAAACTATAATTATTATCATTATATATATATATATATATATATATATACACACACACACACACACAGATGTGGGGTACTGAGGATTTTATCATTTTTTTTATATCAAGCCGAATTCATTTAGATTCTTTTTCTTTCCATCACTTTTGTTAGTACGTCTCACCTACACTGTGACATAGCTGTTACAAGATTTCAACATTTTTGGCAGTAACATACTGAACAAGTGCCATGAAAATATTTATAGAAAAGGCAAAAGGAGGCAAACTTATAGTGGTGGGAAAGGGACTAAGCCAAGATGTCAGATCAGGACTAATAATATTGCCGATTCTTTGGATTTTATCAAGACGTTTGAGATGAATAGTAGGAGTACTGAACCATAAGTAGCCAATGGCAGACATATAGACATATAGTATAGATTCTGGATAGAAAAATTATCTTGTATTGTACAGTGAACCAGCTGACCTAGGAGTGAATTCAATATAGTCTTTCCACTTCATAACAACCAAGAACGTTAGTCAGAGAATGTGCAGCAATTCACTTTCCTGAAGGTTAGCAAAAGCCATGTTGATGGAAGGCAAAGAAGATATATATATATATATATATATATATATATATAATATTGCTTTCAATATTAAGTATATATATTATTACTTTAAACATTATATCTGAGTTGATGCACCATTTATTTTAAACAGTATATTATTCTGTCTACCAGCCTGAACATTTGAGAAAATTTATTAAAGAAAATACACCCTCTGGCAGAATTCAAGCCTATGTCCCACTTTTCAGGAGAAACCAATATTTGATCCAACATGCTTTGAACACTTACCTATGAAGAGTTTCATAATCAAACAAGGTTCTATTAGGAATAAAAATAAACTTCATGTTATATTCCGTGCTAATAGGTATATATACTTGAAAAACAAGGTGGATAAATAAGTAAAGGTTTATCGTACAAAATCAATACAATAAGAATAAAGGTAACAGCTATGCACAAGGTCATTGCAAGTCAATCCAGTAGTGAGTGCTACTATTGGAAGGTCAGTAGTTCTAGTGTAAGTCTGGTTTGTACTCAACAGATCCTAGCTAGTCTCTGTAGTCTGTTGACTTACATATACTTATAGATAGTTACTACCTATAGTGTAGTCACTAATGGGGGTGAAAGGTTATTCCATTACATCACTTCATTATTTCTTTAGAAATATATATAATTTAAACTGTTAAACCTTCAAATGAAATATAAATCAGCCAAATGTTGGCTGACTTTGATTATTTTTAATACAGTGCTAAATATCCTTTGGATAGAGACACTTACATTGTAAATATTATGTTTTACTAGATCTTATTAAAAACATACCAAACATGCACAATAATAAACTGATCACCAGGCACTCAAAATAGATCATTTTCCATTCTGAGCATCTAGTAATTAGTTTATTACAATGAAACTTTCAGTAACTTGTTAACAGAAAATATAGTAGACTCTTGCAGAGAGAGTTCAAGAAAATGCAGAGTCAGTCCAAGCCAAGGTTAAAAAAAAAAATGTTTCTTGTGAGTTTTGGAATATTTCAAATAAAATTCTCAATAGAGATAAAATGTCAATACTAAAAATCATAAATGGTCCTGAGGTTATTTTATCCTCGTCAGACAAGGGTTATCTCTTTGCAATGAACTTTGCTGCTAATTCTGCATTAAATGATAAGAACCACCCCCTTATCTGACATCAAAATTCTCACAGAGCACAAACTTTGTAATATCTCTTTCATTGTACAGGAAGTTTCCAGACTTATCAAAAGTCTTGACTTTAAGAAAGTTGCTGGTCCAGATAAAATACCAATGGTTATTCTTAAGAACATCAACCCAGCATTATCACCAATCTTGGAAAAACCTGTTTAACAACTTCCTTAAGGAGAGCTACTTCCAAAGTTGATGAAAGGTATCAACCATGCATCCTATTAGTGCTCATCCACATTGCATTATCAACCCATTAACCTTGTTAGTGTCATTAGCAAACACTTCAGGTCTGCTTCAATGCAATCTGCAGACCATGCTTTGAAGATTGCATTTAAGCATAACTGTTGACACTGGGTGCTGATCTCAGTGTCCACTTTTATATATATATATATATATATATATATATATATATATAAAATGTAGAAAGAGAAAGTGAATGAGAGACAGATGCACATCCCTAAATATTCACACACACACATATATATATATATATATATATATATATAGATAACTAGACTCGTTTGAAAAACCCTCGAATTTTTGATTTGCTAATCAAATCAATCTCGAGGGAAAAAAAAGGTTTTAAAAAAGAAAGAGCTACAAACATGAACTTCTGCCGACAAAAAAAAATCACACAGATGCAGGTCTGAAGCCCAAAGAAAAAACCCCGATACGAGTAACAACTAACTAACAAAAGAGCTCAATACAACCGTAGAGCAGACCTAGATACAAACTTTCCCTGACGATCTGTTTAGGTGAAACCTAGGTAGGTTTGTCTGGCTCACTAGGTGTATCTATCTATCTATCTATCTATCTATATATATATATATATATATATATATATATATATATATATATATACACACATTCCAGTAAGTGTTGATATCACTTTTCTTTCTTCATAACCATGTATTGTTCCAGTTTGTATTCATATGATTTAATATTGATAGTTAACCATCTTTATATTTTAGTATAATAACTAGTAGAATTCCAGATACTTTGCATCAATTGCTGCCTTTAATTGGTCCAGTACTTGTCTGAATTCAGTGCTTGTTATTTACAATACCTTGCCAATTCCATCAGATACACAGCATCATATTCCTTGAATGCTGACTGCTCGTCATTGTTCCCAGTACCCTTTTCATTAGACATTGTTCCAAACAATCCATTTTTCATTGCCTGCAATGATTGTTTTCAAAAATAGGTTGTTTTTGTTGTGGTTGAAAAGAGAATCACATATAGAAATGCTGTTCAATTATTTTACTGTTAAATTGTGAAACACCCAAGCAAAAATTCACATATCCTAGTGTTTTGAAATGCTTTTATAGCACATATATAAGATATATAGAATATATCCTCAATGTCCCATGTTTTGTGACCTAGAATATTTTTAAATAGTGTTTGTTCATCTTCAATGACTGCAGGTTTACCATAACATTCTAAGTTTTCAATATCAAAATAATCCACTTCTGAACCTAGTGAATAATTTCTTAACAGTACTCTCAGTTATGACACCATCTCCATAAATGGTACATATCCTTTTTACAATGTGTACAGAGCTTTTTTCTTTCTGTAAATGAAAGACCATCAAACATAAAAAATACTTTGCATTTTCCTCCATTTTTATTCTTAATGTTCAAACATTTAAAATTCACAATCCATACATGAATCATGATGGTTGGAAATGTAGTCTTTCAGAACATATATATATATATATATATATATATATATATATATATATATATATAACAGATGCTTCAGTTATGTGCAAAATAAAATCACATGTTCAAACATCACCTGTTGAAAAACACTACAAATTTTGTTCCTTTTTTGATGCCCTGCTAGCAGAGTGGGTATGTTTGCACTGTAACAGCAGCATGACAAACCTAAACATATGTTATGGCAAACATGTGGATAATACTTGCCAGCCTCATATATATATATATATATATATATATATATATATATATATAAGGTTTGGGACTTAACTGATTGATATGCAAGACCATCATGCAAGGCAACATTGAAGGTAGATGTAGGAAAGGATGGCAACATAAAAACTGGTCAGACAATGTCAAACAATGGATAGGTATGACTGTACCAGAATTACTGATGGCTGTTGTTGACAGACCATTGTGGAGGAGATTTAATGTGCCTTCTACATTCGGATCCCACCTATGATTACAAAAGTTGAGGAGATAATGATGATGATGCTAACTTCGGCATCCAAACTC